GGTTGAACCAACTCCTTAAATAAGGCTTTTTCAGAAAATAGCTCCTTGACTATTATTACCATAATATACATAAGCACACACTCAATCTCTAAATTGATAAATATTAACTTGAGCACCACATGTACAGTAGCTGTAGGTGTGCATGTAATAAAACAGTTCAAACCTGTGATACTTCTGTCTTTCAACAGGAGAAGGTGTCCTTCCATTTCGCCCTTTTTCCTCATAAGATTTTCTCCATCTGTTGTCTGGTTTGTTTTCTGATAAAAGCAATCAATATCCCTTACAAAGAAAATTATGCTTTTAACCCTTTAACTCCCATGTGTGACCAAGACAGAATTTCTCCTCACAATATTTTATGCAATATTAACCAGATAAGTGATTATGATGAGAAAAAAGAAAAATATCCATTTGGGGATAATTAGTTGATCCAATACCAAATTCTCTAAAATAACATAAGAATTGTATGGTTGACAGTAAGGATAACTAAAAATTTGATCTGGGAGTTAAAAGGTTAATAAATCCAATATCAAGCACTACAATTGCGGCACAAGGATCAGAGAACCAAAAAAAAATCCTTATTTTAAAAAATAAAATGCAAAAAGTGAAATAATGAACTCGTCATTATTAATGTTATGATTATTTTTCATTATCTTTAAAATTATTACTCTGTCTGTCTTTAGTTAATTAGATTGTCATAACTTTAGGGTGGGTTGGCGTGGAAATTTAAACAGAGGTTAAACTTCCTAGCAATATTTGTTCCTCCTTAATGTACAAGAGGGCATCATAAGGCCTCCATTTTTTTTCATACCTGTTAAGTCGTGTCAGCATGCTATTAAAAAAAACTAACTCATCATATAAGAAAGCCTCTCACCAGGGCTTAGTGACCTTGATGTGAAATGTCTATGTTGACTGCTGGTGACAGACTCTGAACTTCTCTCCCTAATTATCCTTTCCCTTTCCTCTCTGCAAAGCTTTAATTTTCCTATCAGGACACACACAAAAAATGAACTGGTAACATTGTCAATCCACATACTGAGCTCACAGAGTTATATTTCATGACTGAATTTTGACATTTATTTCACTAGTGTATTCAATTGTAACTGTGTCTTTCAGGTCAAGTTTTTAGTAAGACTCTCTGGACTGGTGATCATTTACATGTACTAATCAAGAAAAACATTATCAAGAGCGTTTTGGATTCCTCAAACTCCACAATAATATTTCTTGATCTAGAAAAAAAAATGAGTACATTGGCAACATACACAATTTATAAATATTTCCATCCACATTGATTGTACAATATGTAATACCTTTCTTGACCTTATACGACATATGAACTTGTTTGAAATTTGCCTTTCATGTCACTAAGAGTTCTGCTTCTAATGCTTTGAAATTTTTTTCTTTTGAACATTTACATTTGCTATAACAAGTCAGTTCTATAATTTTATTTCATTGTACAAGTACAATGCAATTTGAGTTTCAATGACAATAATTATAACTTTGTCTCTTCTGCATTATCTGACATACAAATACACTTTTGCAAACTTTATATCAACCATACAAAACATAGGGTATGTCATCTTTGCTTTTAAAGTCAGAATGAGGATCAGATGAAAATGTAAAAAAATGTTAAATACAAACATTAATATCTCACAAGAATAAATATCACCTCTGACCAACTCTATTGTGCACTATTATCACAAGTATTAAACATACTAAGTCTTTGTCGTTCATGTTCCTGGAACACTTGTCGCACAGCATGCAGTGGGTAGTCAGTATTATACAAAGTTCTGAATTCCTCAACAAACTCCTCCAGTGACTTGTGTAACAGTTCTACAGGCTAAATAATATAGCAAGTAATTACTTAGAAATAAAAGAGAGGAATTTAATAAATTCAGTTGTGTTGTATCAACATTTTTGGACATACCATAATTTCTGGCCGTTTACCCGCGGGTAATCTGTTGATTTTGCATTAAATGCGCGCCACTGCGGGTAATAGGGAGGTGTGGGTTATGTTTTGAAAGTTAGATTAGACAACTTTTAAGACTGGAATGTATCACCTTAATGTCACGTTTTCGCCACCAAAAAGTTCAATAACATAACATGCGGGTTATCCACCCATGCGGGTAATCTGTTGACTTTTTTTTTCACCGTATGCAATAATCGGCCGGTGTGGGTAATCGGCCGTGTGGATAAATGACCGGAAATTACAGTATATGTAAAAGGGAATATAAATAGAGGTAACAATTGTAATTTCATTAATAAAATCAATTTTGCTTCAAGCACAAGATACCTTTATTCCAAACCTTCCACATGCCTAAAACAAAGAAAAAATTATTTAGTATTAATCATTTTGGCATATATTTGAATTATATGATAAAAAAGCTAGATACTGTCTAGTACACAGGACCTTTATCACTGACAAAATACAGTAGCTATAACTATATAATAAAACATATTTTGAGTTGGGTTCATTATTTCTTTTTCATCATCTTTCTGAAATTTTGGGAGAATCATATTTGCAAATTCATTGAGGATATTATGCAATTTTAAGATAGAGACACAAGTAGACAAAAATGGTAACAGAGTTACTGTTAATCACAGTCTAAAATCACAACTTGAAATACATTGTGCTCATGATACCAATAAACTTGCACTGTCTTGCCACAGGTAACATTCAACCATAATTAAGTATCATTAGAACAATTTGCACCTGCCCATTGATTAACCCATGAACACCACACTCATTTGAAAACAGCTCAACAATTAAATAAGCCTGTGGTTAGGAAAGAAGGCTAGGGTCTGGATACGCATAAACAACACAGAGGCCAGTAATTTCCAACAAGAGATAACAAAAATCTCAAGTTTGTGTCATGTGACATTATCTCACCTCCAAAGACCTTGGACTTGTCAAGACATAACGACTCAGCTGCGCTGTAGGTTCCTCAAAATTGTAAAGATCAAGATCTGCTTTAGAGGTTTGAGTTTTCCCTGCCAATGAAAAATTTGAAAAAAAAAATCCATATTTGCCATTGATCACTGCTCTCTCAAATATTTTAAAATGTTACACACTGTAATTAATACTTGTCAGGTGGAGTAATTCAAGTTGTAACAAAAAAGTTTCTTTTTCCAACTATCCTGCTCCAATACAGTACAATATCATTATAAAGAGAAAAAGAATCCAAATTATATGAACTGGACCAACTTAGTGGTTTGAAGCCTTTTTGGGAATTTTTATACCTCTTTATAATTAGAGGTTTTCTGTGGAACTACCACCTGGTCAAACAATTTCAAGTCAAGTAGCAATCTTAGAAATCATTACAGGTAAATGAACTTTCATGGTCATGCAGTAGCTTAATGCCAAGTTACATGTACAATATTATGCTTCATGTAAAACTGCTGACAATACAATCTGATCATATTAACCCTAGAAAATATGAAACATCTGGGACTCAAATTTTACAAAAGTATTTTGGAGTTGTTTCAATAAGTGTACATGGAATGTAATACACTGTACATGTATGCTCTGAGTGGTGATTTCAAAAAAGCTTTCTGCTCTAGCCTCTCCTTTCGAAAACCTCACAAAACAATATATAAACAATTTTGCCTAATGAAATAATAACGATTTTCCTGTGGCCCTTAGTATTTGGAGTTATGTTGTTTACTGAACACTGCCTTATAGCATCAGAGATAAAAACAAGACGATGATCTCACTTGGATGGAATTTTAAACTACATTTAATTATCATGCAAAGTTTCATAATAAAGGTTTTTCTATTTTTTAAAATATAAGACGAAGTTAAATATCAACCTTCAAATGTGAATGAGATGATTCGCTTTTTTTTCTAACTCCACCTTGCCGACTGGACATAGGCAAGCAGACCCGTTCAAATCCATGTTTTGCTTTAAAGATTTAAACCAAACTTGATCGGACGTTCTTTTCGCAGTGGCAAAATGGAGTCATTGCATCGCCGTTGGATACAGTCTTATATATAATTCAAATGTAATAACAAGAGAGTAATAAAGCTGATAAATGAACTGTAGTCATGTACCTTTGTCAGTTGCACTTGACTCAAATAATGTTTCCCAGTCATCGTTTGAACTACTGTCAAGAATCCGCTCTCTCACTGGAGAACATTTTCTTCCGTGACGCTCCCTTGACATGACCCTTTCCACGGATCTTATTGCCTTCTTTAGAAAAGATGATAATTACATCATCTACAGTACCATCCCGCGATATTTTATTTTTGTGTTATCCCAAAATAAAACGTCTGACGGCATTCCCTTTTCTAACTTCCCTCGTTCGTTAACCACAAACTAGTTACCAGTTTTTCTCCAAATCACAGGTCAAACTCCGCTGATCACTTTGACGAGGCTCTGGTTGATAACAGACACTCAACCTTCCATACGAAGGAATAAACCATGCGTTTGGTGGGAGTTCCATCCAGTCAGAAAGTCCTGCAGTTGTACCGTCAAATTTTGAAGCAAGGAAGGTCATTACGATATACAGATTTCGAATTCTTTCGAAGATCCATAAGAAGAGAGTTTGAACAACAAAAAGATGAGGTGGAAGCCAAGGTTATTAAGGAACAGTACGAGGTAATTTTGATACCAAAATCTCAGTTGGTAATGTTCGTTTTTAAAACTTCTTTAGTGGAAGGAGCTGATTTTTATTATGGGCCTGCTAGTAAAGAGACGTATAAAAGGATGTGACCTAAAAAACATCTTATTTGCAGAAACTCCAAGCTCTTAAAACCTGAAATCTAGAGATGTTCGATTTTTTTAATCATGATCTCTGTTGTCTCTCCCCACACTGAAGACGTACAGAATCCCAAATAAACAGAAAAGCACAAAAAACCAACAATTTTTGAGTAGAAAACTTGCTATAAAATATATAGAGATAAGAGGCCTCTTAAATGCTTTAAACAATTTTATGGAGAGGTTGTGAACTATACCGGAAATCAGGAGATTGTTTATCTAAGACACTCTTGGATTATATGGATTATGAAGTACAGTTGTGTATTGTTACTGTAACCTTAAATTTGTATCTGTTATTTGTTGTGAGCTTGGCCCAAAATATCTTTAAAGGCCTGATTAATTACAAAGGGAATCAGAGCTTTTGTTTTCCTGAAAATAAAATAATATTTAGTCCTTAATAATAAGCACTAGTGTCAGATGGTGTATAAACTCGAATATGTTGTCTTAGTGACTGGTCATCAGTTTTTTTAGTCTTTTGGAGTCGTTTGCCACATGTAAAATCACTCTCCATTTTAGATTTAATTCAAACAGTACTCTATCAAACCGGGCTGCCAAGAATTTAAATGTTTTTGTAGGGCATATGTTGGAATTATCTATTGAAATTTACCCATAGAAGACATGATCAGACACAAGATCCAAATAAGAGTACTTTTTCCAACAGGATGTAAGGCTGGTCTTTGTTATGATATTGTTGCATTCTTATATTTGTTTTTGTTTTTATGTTTAGAAAGGGATGTATTTTCTGGAGACAAAATTAGGTGGGTTGCAATGATGGAGACAACATGAAAATTCAGGAATAACATGCTGTCATAGGAGAAGTCGCTGCCTAAGAACAAGTGGCTTGGGTTCCTGTGTTTAGGAATCCTGTGTAGAGGAGTTGTTTAAAGTGTTTCATAACACAGTCTATGGGACCCTTGAGCAGTGGCAGTTTTCGAGGGACTGTTCGAGAAGCAGTGTTATGCCTATTTAAAAAATTCAGATAAGAGGTTTATTTAGCAGAGGTTATAAGTCCACTAGTGTGTTTGTTCCATGCATGATGTTAAGCTCAATGCATTGCAACCAGAACAGAAACAATTTCATTTAATTTCTTCTTGTTTTCTTGTTATATACTTGCAATTTTGAAACTTGTGCACCTTGGTAAAATTTTGATCTATTAAAAATGCATCTATTTGCAATAAACATTTCATTCATTTAAATTATTTTTCAAAGTAGTGGCTGTTTTCAACTCTCACAACAATAGGAACATCGTCATATGTTGTGGAATGTGGCCTCTTTCTTCTCCTTACAATTTCATCAACAAGTTTCTTTTTATAAATTTTCCAGTCTCTATCCTCAGTGTAAGTCTTGAATGCTTGTTTGTGAGTTAGAAATGCTTGGTTCATTCCCTGTTTCATGGCCTCCAGGCTTTTTCCTCTCTCCTTTTTCATGAAGATGAGTTGACTAATCAGCAGACAGTGTACCTGTTAGACATTGAGGCAACAATTTTACTCTGACATTCATTTTTTTACACAGGAACAAGGTTTCTAGGGTACTAAAACTAAACTTTGGATATGTTTTATTGGTTTTTAACTGACCTACATGCTGATTGGACATTCTGTTTCCCATCAAAGAATGAATCCAGTAGAAATATCCTAATCTTGCAACGGCTTACACAGAGTTTTGAGCCATGCTATAGAATTTCCATCTGCCTCTAATTCACTCACCCTTCCAACTGAGATGATAAAAGTCTTCTTCAAATCCTCACCTACTCCAAAGAAGTCTCCTTTGCTTAACATATGTACACTGAGAAACTTTCTGACTACACGTTCCTTTACATTGTTGTCAATGTTGTTTTCATTAAAGTTAATGGGCGGTAATTTCAGCTGGATTTTACCAGAGGATGATTCTTTCTTGATCATTGTTATCTCTCTGACTACTCTACATTTTCCAGATTGAATCAAGTACACGTCATCAGCAGGTACGTCAATATCGCCCAGAATAACCTGAAATAAATAACAAATCAACAATGTTCTGTGTAGGGTAATTGTGGAGAACAACTCCTTGAAAAAACCCATCGGCCAACAGATAACCAACAGGCCACCGACATATAACTGACAGCTTACCAACAGGTTACCAATTGGCTATCACGAGTCGGCTGCTTAACGGTGGACTGTTGGCCAGCGGTTGACTGTTGGCCAACGGTCAACAGACTTGCAAAGGCCAATTGGTGATCTGTTGGTAGCCTGTCAGTTATACGTCCGTGGTCGCATTTTGGGATATCGCTCAAAGTGCAAATTACAAATCACAAGCACGCTCTTAAAGCTGCTTCTGACACAGATGTCTCTCCATTCTCTCAGCTAAAAACTCAGTGGGTGCGCAAGGGAAGAAGGTATTGTGTTACTTTTGCTTTCAATTGTCCCTCATACTTCGTATTTGTAAATAGTCCCCCGTCCTTGTACTTCGTTCCCAAGTGTACGCCAAAATGCATTGAGGCGAGGCTGGTCTCACAGCTGACATAGCAGTACCTACCGTATTTGGAGGAAACTCTCTGATCTTTGTATGTGCAACTGTATTTCTGATTTCAGTTTTTTCCCACTCTTTTAGAATGGGTTGAGAATTAAGTATGGACAGTCTTCTCTCCCACTCGATCTGATGACTGTTTCTCAGAACCTGAAGAGGAAACAAACCAAAATCAAAGCCAATGAGTTACCTGAAAAAAGTGCCAAACCTGCGCCAAAAAATTTTTCGGCCGTTGTCAAACTTTTTTTATATAAATATACTTCTGTCCTACGTCAGGCGGCTTGTGAACCTATCTTTAAAGGAATGGGTAGAAACAGGAAGGGATGAAATCATAATGAAAGCTGTTGATCACGATTGTAACAAAAGTGATTTCGTAATCTCTGGTTCTCTTTGCTGACTTTTTTTTACGAAACCGATGTGGTGGTTTGATTTTCTTTTTTCAATTTCTTAACTCAAGAAACAAAGGCTATGATAATTGGCTGACCTCATCAAAGTCAGGCTTGTCAACCCTCAGGAATTCCGAGTTTTCTTTGCATATGATAGTGGCTGTTCTCCTTATGTTATGAAGCAAAGCAAGCTCTCCGAAAGCATCTCCCTCTGCCATTTCTCCCACGACCTGTTATGAGGATAATTTCAATCATAATTAAGCAAGAAATCCAGCTTCTAAGAATATCACACAGAGTTAAGTACTCTGTCTATAACCGGCGATTCGTTCTGACGAAGCTGCTAGCGCTTGAAACGTCAGCTTTAGAAAGTCTTTACGGTGGCCAGTTTATGTTATCAACTCAGTTCAATTGATAAAACCAAAGTATCTTGCATCACCCCCCACCGGCGCATTACCGAAGTTTCTTAAAAAAATTACCTCTTTTAGTCATAAAAATTTGAGGTCAGACTTTGATTTCAGGTCTTCAGTCGTGTATAACCAAGGTTTTCCCCTTTTCCCAGTGTTTGATGAGGAAGTTAAAATAATTTGTCATACTGCAGGGAGAATGGGACATCATTAGAGTGTTAAGTCAACTAAGGGGTGGGAAGAGGGTCACCAGAGGAATACGACTTCGTCAGTGAAATAGCTTTTTGGATTGTATGAGCCTACAACAGAGGGATGGGGAAGTGACGGGGGGGGGGGAGAGGGCATATATCCCGGTAATTTGATACTAAGAATTTCCCTTGACAGACCTGTTTATGTTGTTCACCAGTGAATTTGTCTTCTTCCATTCTTTCCACGATCACTGAACCGGACACAATAAAATAAAAAGAAACACCAACGTGTCCTAAAGAACAAACGCGGGGGTAAAGTACATCGTACATAAACAATTAACTTCTGTCTAGTTCAAAGCTATTAGTCTAAACGTACTAAGTTCAAAAGCAGATCTGACTGATGTTTAGAACACAAACTACACACTATTATATTATTTCGATTACGACAGACGAGAACAAATTGAAAATGATTTGAAAACGTGAGTCTCCGAAGTAGCGATAGCCGATTTTAAGGACCGCACTCATTGTCTGTAACGGGAAAACCAGTCCATGTCTGCTTTGCGATGTCAATCAAGGCAAGAAAGAAATATTTAAGTAACAGTCAATCTGAGTTTTTCAACTGAGCACCTAGTAGCGAGTACGGATTAAAGGGGTTAGTGAATAACCAGGTGCCAAACAAAATGCTAATCCATCGAGTCTGTTTGGAGGAAAGCTCAGTTGAGTGAAAAAGTTAATTTCCGACGCTCCGTTCGTAACCCAAACGATGCCTGTTTTTGCCTTCCATTTGCATTATGACATACTCCAGGATGGAACTGGTTCCAGTGATTGTCATCTAAGCTTACGAGAGATTGTCGTGAAGAATTTTACGATACACTCGATGGCAAATACGTTGACAACTAAAAAACGCGATCAATGAATGATAAGACCTAATGCATCTATGGAAAATGTTTGCACAGTTACATAATCAGTGGTATTCATTATTCATGGTCGTTGTTTATGATAATTTTTTTCTTTCAGGAAAGCGTGGGTAGCTTCTGTCATATACCACGTGCAACTAATTGTGGTCATCATGTAAATGTGTACCGATGAAGCCGTTGGGTCTCATCGTTCATTACTGCCGAACTGTTGTTAGGTGTCAACGCTTTTGCAATCGTCAAAGCGATGAGGAAGCGCTAACGCTCGAAACGTCAGCATTGAAACTCTTTACGATGGCCAGTTTATGTTATCAACTCAACTGATAATACTAAATTACCCTGTTATACTCTCCCACCGACGCAGCACCACAGTTTCTTTAGAAACTTACCCCCTGTATACACAAAGGGTTATGAACTAAAGCAGAAGGGGAGCACTGATCCCCGAACAAAATTTCTATAAGTACCCTCCTTCCCTCCCCCGTGCCCCACGAGAGTCAATCACTTTACACTAACCTTGTTTTATGACCACCCTCCCTTTCTCAAACATGTCGTAGTACAATACTTTGGCTAGTTCCCTTTTGACGTACATAGGATAGCGGCCAAAGCATTTCAACTTTTTCACAACTTGCAAGACCACTTCGACTTCCTCTTCGGTCCTACTCCAGGACAGAGCTCTGAGTGTTTCCTTCACAGCCGGTGATAAAAAGCCACAAGACTGGACGTGAGATTTAAAAGCTTTAAGATAAAAAAGGGAAAGAATACTGATGGCAAATTAAAAACCAACTTTTCACTGATTTGAGAAATAAATAGTTCTTAAAATGGATCCTCCCTCTTGTTCGGAGATTTGTATCCGTCCAGGTATTTCTGAAAGCACCAACAGGCTTTGGATATCGGTTTCCTATTATACCTTGCGCTTAAACAGCATAAAATTTACTCTCTGCGAGGCCTTCCCTTCTTTGGTGAAAATCTTAAAAACATATTCAAACTTGAGCGTCATGTTGGACAAAAAAAAAATGAAAACAATTTTAAATTACGTTATCCTAGAGTTTGTACTCCAATAGATCATAGCCACTGACCAATCGCATGGCGCTTAGTATACAGTTAATATAGGAAATTTGAGTAGTACTGGAAAGTGGGGGTATTTGAGCCTGAAATGTTGTTAACTACAGGCCAGCTAACTTACCATTAACGTTGAAACTCAGACGTCCTTCTCCGTCTTCGGGATTAGCAACAAATCCTCGAGCACGAGTATGGTCATCGGATTGACGTACTTCCTGTAACGGGAAAGTCAGCATGAAAATCAGACCATACGTGATTTAGGTCGATTGAGCCGCACAGCGCTGAGACTACTTAAATATATTGCTTTAAAAAAACCTGCCCAAAAACGATTTAATTTCTAGATTTGTTTCTTCTCACTTCTGTTAATAAAAATAAAAGGTTCCTTTTTCTGAAACTACGCGTTAGAGAAAGGGTTGATTGGTGATGAATACATGCACGCCAAAAATTATGGCTGTCTCATACCTCCTTACTTTGTGAACAAACCAGCCATCGGCAATATGTACCAAATTATATTTTTGCACGAGTTAAGTCGCATTTCACGACTTTCAGCATAAATGTACATCGTTTCCCAATCGACCTGGAAACAGTGGACATGAAGAGCCAGCTCGTAGAATGTCCACTGATAACTGATCCCATTATTATTATTATTTTTTTATTTTTGTTTTTTTTTGAGTGATTATATCATCAGGTATGTTCCTATTGAATCACTTTAAAGTACATTCTCAGTGAGTTGGATGTCAGGTGCCTTTAACTACCTGACTTAGCTCAGTGTGCAGAAAAAGACACCCTAGCATTCAGATATTGCAGGATTATTACTAGTCTCGCTAACTGTGGAACTGGCTCCAAGTATTTTACAAAAATAGGCAAAAGAAAGTGTTTAGGTGGAACCACAACTGTCGGATCGCGTCGATCCGGTAAATAAATTCTTTGTTGGCTTCAGCCCAATTAAAGAATATCTGCATACGCCAGTCTTGGTAAGGCGAAGTCTGATTAAGACGCCGTGATTTGCAACTCACCTTCAGTACCGTGGACCATTTCCTTTGTTTGGTAATGGCCTTGGCAACTTTTTTAAAAGTAACTCCGCCACTTCTAGACTGGTTTGGCGGCACTGGTGCGGTCAGAGATGTTTCCGGTATTTCGTCGACGCTCGAGACCGGTTCGGCACTCGAGTCGTAATTTTCCTCGTCAAATTCCAGTAAAAGAAAGGGATTTTTGGCAACGCTCGTTTTTCGGTCATCAGTGATGGAAGACTTTTTTTTATGCATTGCAGTCTTGTTTTCTTTCATTCTAGAGCTGTTGCTTTGAAAAACAGGCGGTGACTACAATTCAGTTCTATCGTGGGAAAACGCAAGAAAGCCGGAAAATATCCCACAGAAAAAAGGACTCTTTAGTTCACGACAGCGTGTGAATTTAATTGGGTAATTTAGTATTATCAACTGAGTTGATATGGTAAATTGGCCACCGTAAAGATTTAAAAACCTGACACTTCGAGCGTTAGCCCTTCGCTCTCCCACCGACGCAGCACTGCAGTTTCTTTAGAAACTTACCCCCTTTATCCACGTGAGTTTCATAGCAAGTTATTCAAAAACGCCAGAGCGGTCATTTTATGAACAGTCACTCAATCAGGTCTTTAAGAACGAGTAAAGTGTATACATGTCAGTCGCTGTTGTAAGGTCTTAGCTACAAATGTGGTTTTGGTGTTTATAATGATAGGGAAAAAAACGAACAAAAACGAAATCGACAGAATAACAAACTTACCCGGCTTTCAGATTCATTCCGAATTGTTTGCTAAGTTTTCCTTGAATGACTTTAACTTAATTATCGAATTCCAAAGTTTTGTGACGAACTTTAATGAGAGATGCCGTCAGTAGCTGGAAAAGAAACGCATAAAGAAGCTACACCAACAATTGAAAATGCATTTACTACTGAGGAAGTTGGCGCAAGGAGCGCTCAGGAGACACATAGTATCCTGAGATATCATCTGTAAGTTATCCATTGGTTTCACCTCAATGCTTAATCCGAATTTGATAAGAATTAAAAAATAAGTTGAACCAAGATGTCATACATGCGCGGGCTTTAGAATTTCAGTATGATTGTGCGCGCGCAATTACTGAGTTATGACGTAGTGCGCAGCTCACTGTTGTTTTGTACAGATTTTTTTGGAGAACTCTAATTGTCACTTAACATTCACAAACCTTAAGAGAGGTACAGATATGTCTACGGAAACAGAGCAGTCTAAACCGTCCCCGTTAGAAAGGTTCCGCCGCCTTGCTCGCTCCGTCCAGTCACAAAGTCGATGGACGAGAGCTTTGCAATCAAAAATTGCCGATGAACATAGTAAAGTGTTCCAGATCAATCAAGAGAGCGAGAAGGTTTTGTCTTTCAACAGCGGTGGTAATCAAACTTTCGTGTTTGTCTTCATTGGTCTTTGTTCACCTGTTGTTCTATGAATACCGTGTCATTTTCTTAGCTCATTAAAGATACTGTATTGAAAATTCACAGCCCATGGAATATGCTGATCCGGGGACAACATCGCAGACTAAATGCAAACTTTCTTCCTATTTGTTTTCAGCATTTAAGTCTCCGATTCACCTGAGTAGCAGCTTATCCAAGAAGGCTAAACAAATTCTGTTCAAACCCTCGTGCCAAAGGAGAGAAGAGGAAATAAAGGTACTGACAGGAATAGTCTTAATTCTTGCATCTTACCTCTGCGCGAGGTTATGATTTACTAATTTTCTCCCTTATCTCCATGTCGTCCTGTTGGATAAAATTAAGATGTTTCAAACGAGGCCCAATAAATACTGTATTTGGTTAACTAATCTTCAGTGCTTTTTCCGATCTATAATTTTTCCAGAAACAGTAATTTAAGATAAAACAACACGATCAAACAGTAGTTTTGAGGCCTCAAACAAAAATATATGTCCCACAATTGATTTTATCGGAAACATTCCAAAACCTATGTTTTTTTTAGCTTACTTCAGTCACTTTCACCATGCGTTATGAAAATGCCACTGCTTATGGATTTTATTTCATGCCATTGTCTGCTTTCTTTGATAGATTGTAAGGTGTTTCCTTAAAAAAATTGCAAAGGTTGAGAACGTGATTAGTAATTGTGAGGATGACAATAATGACTGGAACGTGCACATCAAAAGTCCTAAATTGATTAAAAAGTTAAGATCACTTCTGTAAAAATGACAATCGAGGGATATAAACAAATTTTAAATTTTATGATAGTGCACCTTTGTGTGCGATGTTCGTGTATGGTATGTCAGCTGGAAATTGCAAAATATCGTATTAGTAGAATATGTTGGCATCCATAAACATTTCGGTTGAACTGTATGTATTGGTGGACAATTCAGTCAATGTCAAAACTGCGCGCTCCGAACAAATGACTCACCCAGATTAGGAAAAAATGAAGGCGCAAGATACAATGTAGCCTAGCTGAGAGGTATCAGTAGATACTAATAGATTGGAATCGACACTTTGATTTCGCAGGTTATCTTCGGCATTGTGGATAAGCTAAAATGTTTCAGTCGTTACACACCACTCATCAAACGCGAGATCGCAAAAGTTGTATATTTTCAACAGTTTGAGGATGGAAGAGTGATCGTCAAACAAGGTGAGTGTCCCAGTGTATTCTGGGGCTGAAAACTTACTACTAGTCATTTCGGTTCGCAAAAGTTATCTTGGTTGAAATTAAGCAGTAGACAACGACTCCAGAAAGTCTCACTTTTCAGTTGATAATGAAGATTGAAAATAATTAGACTGCAGAATTACAGAAGTTTATCGGCTGTCACAAATCGCTGTTCTATTTGACACAGGCCAACCAGGAAGGTCCATGTATTTCATCTTGAGGGGAACTGTATTTGTTCAAGTGGCAGAGACAGATAAAATCACAGGACTCCGCATGAAACAGGTCTTTGAAGTAGAAACTAGTTTTTGAATTTATCACAAAATTAACATATGTTAATAAATATGGACAGCAGATAGAAATGCACGCACTGACATGAGTATTTGTTCAGTCACATTAAGAAGGATCAAGGTTCTTATGGAAGAGTTTCATAAGTTAACTTTGGAAGCCATGAAGGCGTAGCATATCCTTGTTATCTTGAAATTGTTGGAACTGCAGTCATAAAATTATGGATGCTATATTTCAGATCGTGGGAGAGATGTTCGCTGGAGACTCGTTTGGAGAGCTGGCACTGCTACACGACATAACAAGGGCAGCGACCGTCATATGCAAAGGGACGGTTGAGTTCCTGACGATAGACAAACCAGATTTTGATATGGTATACACTTGCCCTTACAATTTTTACATTCTCTCACTAATAATTATTGAGCTTTACCAAGTTCACGTAAAAACATTTCTCTGTGGTCTGTAGGTTTTAAAAAGGAGTTATCAGCAGGAATGGGAGACTAAGATGTCTTTGTTGACATCTTCGCCATGCTTTAAAGATCGTTCGCCCAAAGAGTTGCAACAAGCGAATTCTGCAGCTAAACTAGTGGAGTACCCTGCAAATACGGTAAGTAAAAGATAAAAAAATCGCTATCCAGTAGACAATAATTGTTAGAGCGAGACAGACTACGCGGGATAACGAGCTTGACGTCAAAATGTGTGGCCAACAGATCGTCTTGGAGAGCGAGGCTAAAAGGTCCGTGAAAGGAAACCCCTGAATTTGAAACTACACGTGAAACTAAAACCAGCACCTTTATAGCACTCTATAAGTAGCATTCTTACTATCACCAAGTCAGGGGTGGTTTTTTGAAAACAAAAATTATGACATTTTATGCCGGAGGTATTTGCAGCCATGCAAATGCCCGTAAATTGGAACCTCAGACGATTATTTGTTTAATGATATGAGTTTCATCGACTTTAAGCCTTCAGGTTATTCTAGCTGGATCATTTACATTCTTGCTATCCATTTCCCTATGATCAATCAGTCTCCATACTGCAGGAGGGTATATTTTGTGTTAATGAAAAAAGTCCGCAAACAATCTGCAGCCAAATAGCGTGGTTTACGATTCTGTTCTTTCAATTCAGTCGCCCTGCACCATGCACAACTTCTGCAACTGATGTGAATGATACTACACTAGACTCGCTCATGTTCATGAAGTTTTTTTAGGTGGCACTATTACTGTGATAAAATCATTGCGCAATTAAGTTGCTCTTCACTTGGTAACTGTAGTTCGATGGCAACAGCCAAAAGGCAAACGAAATCAGAAGCAATTCGGCGGACCATGCTTCACCACCGCATCAATGATAACCACACGTTACCACACGTCTCGTGTAAATTATACTTTAAAAAATTTAAGCTTGCTTCTTTAAAACTTATAATGTCAAAAATCATATTGAATAATAAAAAATTGAATGAAAAAGCCAAATAACTAAATTTAATATCGTGAATAACTTGGGCAGTTCAAGTATTTTATCTGCAATAGGATTTCACTCTCCGCTGAGCGTGGGCCAGTATATCTTAATTAAGTGCTGTTGGAACTTCAGAGAAAGTTAATGACATGTACAGGTTATGCACTAAAGAGGTTATTCACTGTCTACGAACGGTGGCGGAAGTTTATCGTTCCTTTCCCTATTTTCACGTGAAGATTCTCGGAATGGAAACATACGACAATTTTTCTTTCACATTTTGTGTTTTAATATTTAGAATTTTGAACCCTATGTAATTTGTACGTATTGAGATTTTAAAGTAAATGATTTCATATATGTTTGATATAAAAAAAACGCATTTACTGCTGTTCTCACTCGACTCAGTGATGGAAATGGAAGCAACAAAGTGATTCGATTGAAATTTTAAAAATATAAACCGAGTGCGATCAAAACGTACGTGAATACGAGTCGAGTGTTATCACGTGAACTAAACTGAGAGAAACCTGTCAAGTTTTCCCTTCCTCACCAATAATTTTTAATTTTTGTAGTCTTTAAAGCCATGGCCAGAGTCGTGGGTATTAGTACAGACTAATAAAAGATTCAAAAGAAGAAAGTCAGTTTGTGGTTTGCGAGAATTTCCTGAGTCTGAATTGCGGACAAGACACTTTTATCACAAAAGAAAGGGTTTTTGTTTTATTTTATTTTATTTTCGGCGTGGTTTGGATCGACCGAATTTCTTTGTTTACAAAAGGAAGTCTGCCGTCGATGTGAATATAGCTGGTGATGTACGCCAACGCTGACTGACAAACGTAAAATCTTTTGAAATCTAAATACAGTCATTAACGTTGGCTAACTCTTACTTTTTACCCTTTACGGTGGCTAACTCTTACTTTACCCACCAAAATATTAATTAGTTACGCGACTATCACCAATATCATTATTGTTAAATTTTTTTTCTTTTTGTTGTGCTGTGAAGTGAGTGCGAGCGTCGATTACGAGGTTTCATTTTGGATTCGGTTTTGAAAAATTTATTTACAAATGTAATTTTATTAAGATTCTTTTCATTTCCTCCTTCATGTTCTCCTTTAATACGGGTACTGATTTTTAATCTTCATGTCGCGTTTTTGTTCAAAGCTTCTGTGATATTCTGTCTTTGTTCTGTAATATAATAGTTGTCGTATTAAGGCTAAAACACAACATGTTATTAACTTGCCTTAAAGTGATTGACTACGTTGTCGTAAGTGGTGACAGGACGCCAAGAGAAGTCAATATAATACCATGGCGTTCCGTCTCAAGTTATTTTGTGTGTTACCATCTGAACAAATAGAAACCATGTCATAATGTAAAGTGCTATCGCATCAAGTTAAAAATTTCATTTTGATAAATTCCGAAAGTGTGTGGAGTAACAGGATCTGGAACTTCCACGTTACGGAACCAGTCTGTTGTTTTAATGCCTTCTTTTTCCGTTTAATTTTAAGTTTTAATTTGGATGGGTACGAGTCGCAGGAACTCCGCCTACTATAGCGTGAGTGGGGGCCTTTATTTGCTTTCAACCTGTCTTTTCAAAGGACACAAAGAAACTCGCAACCACACCGGCTTAGCGTCCTCTAAACTGTTATCAGTTCAGCTTGTATTCTTGGCCACTTTTAAAACACTTAGGTTTGACACGCTGATCGATTCAAATTCTCCTTGACAAAAATGAAATTCGCTTGTGGTTATATTCTAATTTTGACCTGAAACGTGGATATTTAGCATCATGACATTTCGTTTTGAAGAACCATAGTATCAATAATTTTTTTCCGGAAGAACTCAAGGCACGCCGATGGCTCCTGCTACTAACATCACATCAACGGCTATGAATCAAATGGATTGCCGAGAGCCGACCATGAAGCCATTTGTCGCCCAGTCGTGCTTTCTCATTTTCATAGCCATCATTACACTTTTGGGAAACATCTCAGTTTGCTTGACGGTATTTCTCAATAACAATCTGCATACTTTCACCAGCTACCTCGTCGCTTCACTGGCTTGTTCAGACTTAATGGTTGCTACCCTCTCGCTACCATTTCGGATCCATCAAACAATTCATAACACCCAGTGGTGCCTTAGTGAATCTGCCTGCTTGTTTTGGATTTGGGCAGACTTACTCTGTTGCTGTGCCTCGATAGGAAATCTAGCATTGATAAGCGTCGATCGGTTTTTAGCCACCAAGTATCCTCTGAGATATCACCAAATAGTGACTTGTAGGACTTCTTGGTTGATGTTATCGTCTGTGTGGATCTATTCGATAGTCGTGGCATCCTCTGGTTTAACCAACTGGACTCCCCTTGCTGGGAAGCTCGTAGGCATCAACAACGGCTGCTACAAGCCCGATCCTTATTATTACACGTTTGCAGCAATTGTTGGTTTTTTCGTTCCTCTCGTAGTGATAATGTGCGCTTACTGTTACATTTTCAAGATCGCCATGGAACACTTCCGCGCCATCTCGAGACTAACCGTTCCCGTTATGCCTCATGTGTCAAATAGCAATGAAAATCATCAAGCCTTGTACAAACAGCAACTTAAAGCCACGAAAACTCTAGCTATAGTGGTTGGCGCCTTTGTTGTTTGCTGGTTACCAACTTTCATAATTCTGTTGGTCAAAACATGGTGCCGGTCATGTTTAAATAGTCAACAGAATCCTGAATTGAGCGGTGTATTTTTTGTTATTAATGTGGCATTTGTCTATACTCTGCCGAATATTAACTCCGCCATCAATCCTTTCATCTACGTTGTTTTTAGTAAGGATCTGAGACGGGCGTGTATTAAGACTTTCAGATCGCTTTATCAAGAACTGTGTGAAATAAGGACGGCGACAAGACAGTCGAATTTTTAGTAAAGTTTACACTTATAAGGTCTATATTTTTTTCACTCGATGAAGAATAAAGATATTAAAGTTTGTTGCTAGCGGCTCAATATATATGACGTGAAATTTAGAGTGTAATTATCACCTTTCGGATATAGTATCCTTTTAAGATTAAGATCTATTTTGAGATCGCAGTTCTCAGGAGGCTGGTACCTCTAGGATCAGCTTTCATATGCCGTAAAATTGTATCACTCTTTGGGAAGATTTCCTCTACTTTCGGTTGGCAGTACTTTCAGAAGTTTATGCTAATTTTATCAATCTGCATAATTTTTCAATATGTTGTTTCTCTTTCAGTTCTGCGACCGCCAAAATATTCCTTACACTGATTCTCGCCGTTTTCATGATACCTTATCCTGTGAGGCACTTAGCTCTCTTATTCCCCTCACTGTTGCGCTAACATCTAATCTATATTCAAATGCATGGCAAAACATACACAAAATTAGGAGTCATTACAGAACGAAAAAGGCGGCACTTTGTTGTAGTCCTCACGATTTATTGATACGAAATTCACCAGAAATCCGTAGACGATCAGTAAGAGTGTTCCCAAGGAACTATTTGGTCCTAGCCATGTTAATATCGAAGGATCATTTCCCTGTGATATAGCAGTATCTGAGAGGGAAAAAAACACTCTCTAGTATCTCTGGTGTAAATTTCGTAATAAAGCAGACACGTGTGTCGGGAATAATTGTGTTGCTGACTATTTGGAATTGAAATCGTTGCCATTTTTTCCCTTTTGTACTGAATATTCTTCTCAATCATGATAGTACATCTCTTTTGAGCACCACCTTCTTAGAGTTGCAATGCATTTTGAATGGAGTTATCAGGAGTTATGGTGAAAACATGTGGAGATCAATCGACCCAACGATGGAGTTGTTTACATTGAGTTCCCGTTTAACCATGAACGAATGAAATACACTCATACTTGTCGCCAACGAAACGGTTAGACAGAGGAATAAGACTTCGTCCCTGTTTTATTTTGTGTTTGCTTTTGTTTAATTTAATTTTTTTAACGAATAAAGTCGTTCAAGACTTAATCAAACCAATAGGTTTAGAAAGCCGTGCCGAAATCAAGTTGATTGTCATTTTCTTTCGAAGCGATAGCATGACTTTCTCGTCTTAGTTTTCTCCGGCGCTGATCAAAAACTATTCTCAAATTTTTTTTATCTCTGACTTCAATTCGCAGAACACTTTTAATCACGGTTAAAACGACAAAGACAACAAATAACACTGAATAATACAGCAGATAACCTTCGTGTTCAGTTTCATTTTGATAAACTAAAAATTGATGAATTAATTCACGATAAAATTAACAGCACCCATTCTTAGAGTTTTCATACATGGTGTAAGAAATGAATCAAAGAAAAGCCCTTACGTTGTTTAAAGCCACGCTCAGTTACAAAAGGTAACTGAGCCCTAAAATCTTGGATCGCTTGCTGAAGATCGTGTTTCCTTTCGGGAATCCAGAATAAATGTAGTGGGAAATTTTCACAAATTCACCGAATAAAACAAAGAAAGGGACCTGGTTATCCTGGAAATGAGTTCTGAAATCATTCCAAACAGCATTATCTCGTTTATAAGTGCACAACTAACGCAAATCCTAGGTGTTTTGATCACGACGGGAAAACCAGCGAAATAACGTTCTGAACTTGATGGGGAGAACGGCAACGCTAATACCGGAAGTCGAAATAGCGTCGTGTCCAGATTATCCGAGCGCTTTCCCGTTCTGAAATGACGTTCCCGTCCGGCGCACCGCTCTCGAGTCCAATCGGTCTAAGACTCAAGAAAACGATTGGGTTTAGTTATGCTGGTCTGATTGGCTCTCAAACGAAGGCAGATTTAAGCATCTGATAGGAAAATTTTTTTTTGTCATGCAAATAAAAATAACATCATGAGAAAAGTTTTTGGTGCGTTCCTTTTGTAAGAGAGGGTCTTGATGAATGCGAAAAATATCTTTTTGACTGCTCACTTTTCATCCGTATGCTTTTATACTCAGATAGGTTACCCAAAGTTTATCAAGTAGGTAATTGTTAAAATACATGGCGCGAGTTTCTAACACTTTTAGCATTTAAAACAGATTAAAATTTCTCTGTTGAAAAACGTCTTATTGTTACTGTCTCACCATTCAGTATTTTTTTCGTCTCTATTTGAATTTTAGCGGTGCCTACCAATCACTTGTCGCCGATTAGACTATCATTCTGTTAGTTTAAGAGTCTTTTCGACTACCCAGGATCCTTTGCCTTGTACCTTATCTGTAGACAAGAGTCTTCAGCAAGGTTAGGTTAAGGTTAAGTGATTTCACACTGACAGACCAAGCTAATGTTGCAAATTTACTTTCCCCAGGTGATTCTTCGAGACGCAGGAAACCCAGGGGAATGTATTTACTTTATAAGATCTGGTCAATGTCAGGTGGTGCGAGAAATGACTCTTGTACGAAGAACGCCTCCGTTAGCAAAAAGAAGGCTCATTTTACCACCATTGGAAGCTGAAGGCGATAACAGCCACATCTTCAAAATCAAAAGTTACGATTACGTTAGAAAGCATTTCCTCGTTGTTTGCCTCTTTGGTAAAGGGGATTACTTCGGTGTTGGAGAAGATTTCACTAAAATGAGCATTATATCAGTTAATAAGGTAAGAAAGTATATGTGGGTGAACGTAAAAATCGCGGCGAGTGGTGACGGAGCTGTATTGCGAAGGAGCAAAGTGCTTTAATTTGAAGTTAGGAAATAAAGCTATTTCGTTTGAGTGTCGAAAGTAGTCCGAGATTGCATTGGTTTTATTTTATTTCGCCCTTTCATTGATCCTCAAAACTCGCCCCTCCATCAATCAGTTGCAAAATAAAACCCTCGTTTTCTCGCGCATGGGCAGTTTGGTTTTTTTTTACGCTTATTGCCTCTTGAAGGTGTTTTCTTTCTTCGATTGGTCCTCGTGATTACATTGGTTTTGGGTTTTGCGACACTCAATCAAAAAGCGCTCGATATTCTTCGCTCTATATATGTCTTGAATTCATGTCCCAGTTTCACACATTCCGTTTTGTCCAAATGAAACAATGAATTGATTAAAACGAAGCCACTGTCTTCACGTGGCACACATTTCCCTCTTGATATCAAACCCCGCTGCTAATGATCAAAATTTTGAACACTTCATTAAACTGACCATTTTAGGTGGAAATCGTTTTGGTTCCAAGACATGTAATGGCTAAACACGAGAAAGGACGTATATTAGAGGAGATGAAGGATAAACTCAACAAACAACTGCCCTCGAGGAGAGAAGTTTTTCGTAGTTTTGTAGCAGGGGAAAAATGGCGACATTACAAGTTGGACATACGGAATGAACTGCGGACCAAGAAATGGCTGTTGAACCCAACAAAATTACAGGATGTACCCTATTCAATCCAAGAGCAACACTTGTATTAACATTTTTTAAAATTCACTTAAACAAGAAGCGTTTACAAGTTATAATCTTAGATTGATAAATCGAATTAATCTTTTAAATAGTATTTGACAATACGAGTCATTTGTGATAATTTTCCTCAATATGATTCAATTTCCAATACGATGAAAATAAATTTAGTAGATTATGTTGATCGGATCTCGCTTTCTTCACACTGTTAATAAAAAACAACTTAAAGAGGTCAGCAAAACAATGCTTTTTGAAAGTTTGGACTAAGTTTAAAACTTTTGCCACAAATACAATGTAACTGCAGCTTATTTCTTGGGATAGCTTCGCATTCCAATCACGGATTCCTTATGCCTTGGATCCAGGCCTGCTAGGGCTCATACTCAGACCCCCCTCGTCCCGAGGCGAAGAAACACTGCATGCTCCGAACTATTTCCAGTTGCAAAAGTTTGCTTGACACAAAAAGGGATGAGACCAGGGAAGCCTATGTTACACTTTTTGTCGCCCAAGCGCTTGCGCTCAAAAACAATTAGAGAACGACTAAAGGGAATAATATTGGTGGCTTTCGGCGGCTATTGAAGTGGAAAAGGGGTTTGGCTTTTTGTTCTTTCTCTATTGTCAATGCGTTTAGAAAATCTTATATAATTTCAGACGAGGGAAATCTTGAAACTTAATAAAGACTCAGTTTTTTTTTGATACAAAGGATTTCAAGGGCCCAAGACATATTTAAGATTGTTCGATTCAAAGTTTCTTCCCGTCATAATGTAAGAGAATTTTGATTGATTGACCTGTGATGACATCACCACGATGGGTTGATCCACAGTAGTCAGAGAAACTGATGTAGAGGTTTGCATCTTTTCTTGTCACCTTTATTTTCTTCTGGTTTTCAAGGTAAGCCTGGTTTGTTGCGTCTGAAGTAAATATCAACTAAATATTATGACGTATGAAGTGTTTTTTAAGCAACTGTTTATAACAGGTGCTCAGCAGAACGCACGGGTTGTTTACCTGTCATACGAATTTTTCAGGGATTGTCGACCGTTCAGTAGGATTGATCTGTTATTTTCTTGATTAATGTGCATGAAGATGATTTTCAATTAACTGTAGTCTTTGTAAGGTGCAATTTCTATATAAATATTTTAGAAAGACTTGAAAAAGTTTTGAAAAATTTCTCTGCTGCATGAGTCTGTCTTCATGGCATCAGAAAGTATTAGTCAATTTGTTATTCATTGAGCAAGGATATGAATAAAACTTCAAACGTGATTTTCCTTTTTTCCTCGTCGAAAATTTGATTATTCGCCGACTGAAGCGGTTCTCTGAATTATAGCCACCTTTTTCCAGGTCCACTGACGGTCTACGTAGCAGTCAAGTAATATTTATGAATCATTTCTGGGTTTTTACATTCGCCTGCGCAATTTTCATAATCGTACACTCTGCGCCGAACTGGGGCCCACTGCCCAATGAATACTTCCAAGAATTCTATGACCATTACAGTGAAAATATGCAAAATCACGTCGAATATCTCAAGCATGTACACGAGGCACACCATGAAAATCAACACAGGGTGCATGAAAAATTCCAAGAGAACTTCTATGACGTAAACGAAAGACAACAAGAAGGATCGGAAAGTGACCAGGAGGCGTATGAAAGATCACAAGAGGACCTGAGATCTGCAGACAGCGACAAGAGAAGTACACTGCATGGACGAGGTAATTAAGAACATCAGTTTGTTCATTCATATCTTTCAACTATTTATTTAGTGTGGCTGTCGGACACTAATTCGTACTTAGATCCCCTGCACATTAAGCTCAAAAGTCGCTTGGTCCCAATGACGTTTAGGCATGAGACCAGTGGGTTAATCATAAGCTAGTGCGAAAGTTATTAGTCATGAAATCATAAAAGAAAAGTTTCAACCTTCATTACATTTTTTTTTTAAATCACTGGTGATCCTTGTAATTTGATTGGCTCTTATAGCCGCGATTTATTCACGAATCACATCATTCTTTTGCTCTAAATCGCATCTTTTTCTCAGCCAACGAGGAAACTCTACTGAAATACAACGAACAATTGCTTGTTAAAGAAACCAAGCAAATTGCAGGGAAATGAAAAAAAACAACTTTTGCACTTTTCTACAAAACAGCTAACTACTGGATAAACAAAATATTTTAACGAATAAAAGATCGTGTATCTTAGAGACTGAATTTTGCGATTCAAGATGGATGTAATAAAGTAGTAGTTGAGCTTTGTGTCACGTGATTTTGGTCTGAAATCATACTTGTGATTTCAAATCACGCATATTACCTAAGAATACACATTTAAAAAAGTAATTATAAGCATTCTGTTTGGCTCAAAACACGTCAGTCATCACAGACAATGCAGAAAATTGAAATTGAGTCCAGAAAGTTGAAATTAAATTGATGGACGAGTAAGATGCGAAAGCATAACAAAACAAAATAGCGGACAGGTGAGGACAAAGCAACAACGGTTTAATTCAACAAACCCAGATCCAACAAAAGGAAAACAACTGGCTCAAAGCCTGGCTTCCAAAAACGGATATGAAAGTATGAACCGTAGCCCCTGATTAAAATTCTCGAGGAGTTTTACGCAATAGTTCGTACGAAAGACGGGGAAGATTACGAGCGTGATGGCTTTCGTGTAATGAGTATTGCTGTCGACTGATACATAACAGACATAGGATATAAACGCT